CCTCACCTCTAACACTGTTTGACACAAGGGGAGCTTACAAACCTCAGACCCTGAAAGTTATTGAGTAATTAATCTGTAACTGATTATTTTAAAATACTTAAGGTTTTCATCATCAAAAAGGGGGAGATTGTTGAGACATATTTGGTTCATACCATGTATCCTCTAAGGTTTTGATGATAACAAAGTATTTGAAGAAAAATTAGGATTTCTAACTAGATGGTTCATGTGTATAGAATTCAATTTACTTGATGAAACAAGTTCTGTCACGAAAGAAGCGATTGTTCGAATCTGATCAGGTTACTATGAGAGGGTCTAACCATAAAGATATCTTTTTCTATTTATGAATCAAAAGCGTGCTAAACCTGCCTCTGAAACTAATGGATGCCAACTCAAGCTCAAAAATCTCGGGACTCAAGAGTAGTTGACAAAGAAGATGTGCAAAAATATTTGATTTGAATATAGTCGTTAGGTTGCTTCAAGGACTCTATTTCTTCAACAATAAAAGAAGCATAAGAATTGAAGATCAAACAAGAGAATAACACTTCAACTAAAACTAAATATACACGCACTTCACACAATTTGTATCAGCTCAAGAGAAGCTAATCCTGTAAGAGTTCTTATTCTTGTATAGCTTAACAATATTTAGTATTAAAGTGTGTTGTATTATAGTTAAACACCTCTGATTTGAGGAATCTGAGCAAGGAAGTCTTGAATCTGTGGAAATTAAGCAAGAAAATCTTGGATTATAGGCCTATGCAAAGAAGTCTTATACTCAAGGGTATAAGCAAGGAAGTCTTGAATCTGAGGGGTATGAGCAAGGAAGTATTAGGATTTGAGGATCTAAGCATAAAGTATTGATTAAGAACTCATTAAGCAAGGAAGACTTAGGTTGTAGTATGAGCAGGAGAAAGTCTTATACTTGAGGGTATAAGCAATTGTAATTAATTTGATTATAGTGGGAAATATCTTGTGTTGCAAAGGGACTGGACTACTCTCAGTTGGAGAGGAACTATGATGAATTTTGTGTGTTCTTTGCCTATTTATTTACTTCTGTTATTTTATTCGCTGCAATTTGTTAATTAGATTCTGAACTTCTTTTTAGATTCTGAACTTTGGTTCAGAAGTAAAAATGATTTGGCATACACAATTCAACACTCCTGACCTATTAGTGGATAGGTCAGGAGTGTTGTACTTATGCTGGTTTTTGCTTTGATGTGAAAATGCCACATAACCTTTCAGTTTGAGTTTTTCCTACTGCCAACTTTCTCACAATGAAGTAAGCTCATCGATTTTGTTTTCTAAAGTCTTGTTGGAAGAAGAAGCTTGAATTCGATGCACTCCTTTTGTTAAAACCACATAGTTGTTTTTGGTTATGAATTGTTGTGAGTTGAGTGACATGTTTTCAATTAAGGTTTTATTGTGGCTGAGGTTTTATCAACAAGGGCTCCTCCACTAGTAGCATCCAAGATATTTCTAACCATCGGTAACAGTCCTTCTGAAATTTGTTGTTGAGGTATCTGCTTCGATCTCTCCCAGTGTTCAGCCAATGGTTCCATGTCAACATGTCTAATACCACATATATCTTTTCTAATCGAAGCAGCTCTTGAGGCAACAAAAATCTTTCTAGAAACACTCTTTCAATTCATTCCAGCTAGTAACAAAATTTGGCTTAAGATAATACAACCAATCTTTTGCATCTCTTTAAAGTGAGAATAGAAAGGATCTGAGCTTGATATGATCCTCTATGATTCCTTCAGGTCTCAAAGGTGTAGAACACTCAACCTGGAATTCCTTCAGATGCTTATGTGGATCCTTACCTGCACGACCACTAAACCTTGGCAATAAGTGTATTAAACCAGATTTCAATTCAAAAGGCACAACAACCGTATGATATTCAATACATAAAGCATCATGTGCAGCAAGTTCTAAAAGTTTTTTGTTCAGCAACAATGTTATACAAATTACTATCACAATCATAATCAAATAAGGTATGAGAGAACACATAATCAAAGTCACGGTTGCTAATGGGTGGTGAACTAGTTCTAACCTGATTTACTCTACAGCGTGCATGTAAGGTTCTTTCAACTTCAGGATCAAAATAAAACAAGTTAGAACAACCAGACCAAGTAGCCAAAATTGATTCAGCAGTGCAGCAACAACTAGGAAAATACTAACAATGTCCCTGTTAAACAAAAACAATTGAAAGACAAAAGAATGATTAAAATAAAAGAAGCAAAATATAAAAACACGAAAAAATTAATCTAATTAAGTCAAATGAATTATACCATTTTTTTGGGAATTTTCTGAAACTATGAAAACAAAAATAAAAATCATTAAAAAATAGAAAAACGATGAATTTAGGGTTTTGAGGGTGGTGTCCATTATTGTCGCAAAATAAGGGACTTTGATCCCTGATTTTTTCTGCTAAAATGGAACATTGAAATTTCAAATCAGACACAATTTTCCTGAAAACTGAGTTATCGGACCTAGGTTGTGAATTGGCCAAAACAGGAAGAATACGTCCAACACGAAAGAACATAATACCTATGACTCTAAAGTTGGTTAAAATCGAAAAGAGTCCATAGAAACGGACCCAATTTAATCCGCTGTCACACACGGGTAAAAAAACGAGTTTAAAAAAACATAGTAAATGGAAACGACATTCAGGTCGTATTGTAAGGACTCTCGAAATAATTTAACCGACCGAATGAAAGAGGGAGATTTTTAAGGTTCAGAACTTAAATCGAGGATGATTAAGGTAAAAGAAAAATTGATAAATAAGCTAATCTGTTGTATCAATTTCCGACTTATCATCGATTCTTATAATTTGAAAATCCTAAGCGGATTTGATCTTATTCGATTACAATACCCACTGACAAGCACAATTGGTATTATATGATATATGTTCCTAATTTCTAAATTAACTAAACGAGTTTAAGCAGTCACTAGGGTTGGAAATGAGTGGAGTCGAGTCAAACTTGATTACCAAATTGAGTTCCAGACTATTTTTGAGTTGGTTCAGTTCATTGTCAGCCTTAGCAATCACGAATTAAGCAAACATGACTTAATAATGAAACACGATAACGCAGAAGCTATGCTAACGTCATTATAGTTAAGGATCATACAAAGAATCAAATTTAATAAACTTTATCCTATAAGCAATAATCGAATTAAACAAACAAAGGCAATCAAATTAAGCAAACGAGTTTATATAAAGAATTGAAAATAAATCGAAATTAAACTGAAACTTATAAAAACCTCAAAGTGGAATCCAAATATATCAGACCGACTCTTTGGGAATTAGCTCTCCATAGAATTTGTAATACATATTCCTTATTTCGTGAATGCAGAATAATAATCCTAAAACTACAAATTTGTTTAAATAGCGTAAAGGAATTCGGGCCTAATAGCAACAGACCCAAAAAAAAATACAAAACCGACCCAAAAACTAAGTATTTTTTTAGGTCTGAATTGAAAATGAATCACACGACTCTTCTGCACTCCGAAGTTGCTTCTGACTTCAACACAAAATTTGTATCTTATCCTCTCAATTTTCCAACGCATATTAGAACACGTCAATCTAATTCTCGTAGATCAAGTTATGACATGTACAACGAGAAGGTGTAAATAACTGTTTATTCAGAAAATAAGCATTTATTCAGAATATAAGCAAAATTCAATTTAACTTTCAAAAACCTATTAAAAGCAATTAAAATAATGTGTGATAATTCATTTAAAAGTCTTAGCACATAGTAAAAGATAGTGTATTAAAATACATTGATGATTCACTAATTGATACACGTGGGAATAATTGATTATGTTTTAATAAAAATATGATTCTTCAACGCTTGAATACTTGAGATAAGATTTGATTGGGATTTGGAGCGAAAATAAGTTTTACCTAGATTGATTTCCTTTTAAATGTTAAAGATTGATAAGTTCCGAATATACGTTAAATATATAGACACTTATTAACTTATTTTACAAGTAATCAAATGAAAAAATTCTGATTTATCAATGAAATTCGACAAATAGGTAAAAAAAACTAAGAAATCACAAAAGCAACACAAAAGTCATACCCAAGACGTTCCTAACAAATCAAGATTCGCTAAGTCAAGAACATATAGGCTTGCTTCGCGACAAAAGGTGCCAACTTTTCTAACCTAAAAACATAGGCACGTTTAGCGAGTAAAGGCGGTTTATGATATCAAGGAAACTATTCTGAACTGGCCAAACGACCTAGCAAATTGGTCCAATTCAAAGGCTCAATCCAGAGCTTTGTTTGCATGTAGACTGTCACGTGCATTAGAGTCAAGCATCACGCTTATCTCAATTGGTGGAGTTGATTAAGTTATCACCTATATTTTACACTGCAATCACGACAAACAGTTTTTACCATCACCCATATATAACTGTTTTGCGTCATACTAATATATGATTCACTCTATTCTTGCAAGTTATATTTCCCTAATCTCACTTATTTAGACATTAAAGCGATATCTTACACCTACACCTCCTTCCCATCTACTAGAGACACTCATCACCGTACTGAAAAGATTCCCCAAAAGATTTCATTAGCACATCACAAATTTCCTAATTCACATTAAAATAGTAATTTTAAATTAAATCAGAACTAACCAATAATAGAGTAATTCTCTATTATTTTTAGACCACAAACATGGATTATGGGTGCGAATTATTGGGGGTGTGGGTAAATATTTCCCAAAATATAAAACATGAAAGTTTGTTATGGGACTCAAGGCTAGCACATGTGTATACTAACCATAACAGAATTATTCTTTATGAATATAGGATGCACAAAAGTTTCCAAGACCACTGTCAATAATAGCAAGATAACGTAGATTTCATATTTTAGCCAAATTCACACACATGGCAACTATCCAAACTTTTCCATTTTACTCTCCCAAAAATGGCAGGGAAAATGACAATTTATTAAGAAATTCTTCCTCTCTTCATTTCAAACCCATCTCTCAAAAACAATGGAATATAAAATAGGACTTGTTTTCCTCCTCTTAGTCTTAACATTAACAATAGTAACTGAAGCATCTGAAAACTTCTCAGGTCTTGTTAACAATGCCAATAATGATCTCATTGAAGATGATACTGAGTTTCTAATGAGTTCTAAAGGAAGACATAAGTACATCAGTTATGGTGCACTTCGAGCTAATGGAATACCATGTGGCTGGCGTGGTCAGTCCTATTACGATTGTAATAAGAGGCAACAGGCTAATCCATATCGTCGTGGTTGCAACAGAATTACACATTGTGCCAGAAACACCGGTTAAATGATTTGAAGAATCTTCATGATAAAGATATACATAATAAGCTTGTGGAATTGATTATAACTATTGTGATATAAGGTGGAAGAAACTTAGTCTATTTCTATTTCTATTTGCTTATCTATATATGCATTATGATGTTTCTTTATATAAAAAATATGTTTGTGTGATTTATTTTCTTCTTGAATATATATATATATATATATATATATATATATATATATATATATATATATATATATATATATATATATATATATATATATATATATATATATATATATATATATATATATATATATATATATATATATATATATATATATATATATATATATATATATATATATATATATATATATATATATATATATATATATATATATATATATATATATATATATATATATCAGGTTGTTGTGGGCTGGAAAATGCAAAGCAAGGTAGCCCAACAAGGATAGTTGTATGAAATTGGGAAAATCTACATGGCACCTGAAAGTTGAACCTGCACCCCCAACAAATTTTAATATTTCTCTTATTTTTTACTTTTCTCAAAAATTTCAAAATATTTACCCTTAAATGCGAAAAATCCGATAGTAATGCTAAAATAAGGTATGTGCATTTACTGGATTGTTAAAATATTTGATGCATAATAATGGTTTATAGGAAGTTTCAAAAATTCCGATATAACGAATATTTCTCTCACCAGTAAGAATTTAGTAGTTATATTTTGTACGGTTGTGATTGTACCGACACTTTTGTAAGATCGTGATTGCACTGACAACTTTGTGTGGTCTATAATAATTTAAGACTTGTATAAATATGTCACATATGTTGTTAACAAAAACACTTCTCGAAATACAATTTTGACATCTCATATTTAGTTACTTCAACGATGTGAGTTCTCCTATTGAATTTAGGGTTAGAGATGACATTCCTCTTGTAGTTTTGAAATCAAAACTAGTAAAGAGGACGGGTAAATTTATTTGATGCGGTATAAAATATATTTAGATTTACATATAAATTTAAAATAAATTATTTAATTGTAAAATAAATAATAATTATATAAACTTAATTGTATTAAATACGATAAAAAAAGAAAAATGAAATTTGTAAAATTGAGTAAAAAAACAAAAAATATTTGACATTTGAAAAAAAGAATTCATAAAATAAACATTCTATTCAAATTCAAATAAAAATAATTGTTTATTAAAATAAAATCTATATTGCATTAGGGAACCGTAAATGAAACATTTTATTTAACTCTTACAAAATATATAACTAATTTAACTATATAGCTTTAAATTATGCAATAACAAAAATTTAGAAAAATTGAAAAAGAGATACAAAATTAAAAATAACAATAACATAAGAGATCAAAATTGTGAAGAAATAAAATGCCTAAATTGTTAACGGTGATATTTGAAAGTTAAAATGTGATATTTGAAATTTAAACTTTGTCAACAACAACACAACAATATAACTTATAAAGTCTCATTTTATTGAACCTTGTCCCACGTATAGTGTTCCAAATAAACAATTTACAACGTAAGTTTATATTTGTAAAAAGACACAACACTTGTAGTAGAAATAATATAAGTGTAATTATCTTATTCATGAAATTTTAAAGGTCATACATGACTACAATGGCATTACATGTAAACATAAATGCTATAAGTTTTGTGTTAGTTCAGTAAAATCAAGTTGACTTTTTATAAAATTTATAAAAATAATTAAATAATGCAATTTTTTATTTTTCCAGAATTAATTTCATGTTATAATTGTATTGTTTATACTATTATTGTTACAATTCCACCAAAATATTTTCAGAAAATAGTATATTAATCTGGTTAGTATAATTGAATTGATCAGTTGACTGGCATATAGCAATTATGGGTTAGAAAAGGTACATTGAGAGATTAGTGGGAGTGATTGTTGTATAATAACATTGACAGGACACTTTAAATTTTGCAAGGACTAAAAGTTGATATTTGATACACAATGATGTATGCGATTATTTTAATAAGAATTGATAGACATTAAGTCACAATTTTCAAGAAAAATAGGACAACCTATTAATTAGACTATTGGGACTACAACACTTATGAAATTTATTTTGAATAATAAAATCCCTTTTGAACTAAATTTTGAGCACAACACAAAACCATAAGAGCACATTTATGTTCTATGATAAATTAATCATTGAGCAAACTGACTGAGTGACTGAAATATTTTTGAAATTGTTGTACGGAAGTCTAACACAGATCTTAAACATGTACCATAAGGTTCATAAAACAAAACAAAAAACTACAATATTTTCTAAAATTTATTATTGACTATTACAGTGTGACATCATCAAGTTGAATATTTCTACTTACAATAGAAGTATTATTTTGCAATCTATTATGTATTGTAATAGTTACCAAAAATATCAGTATTTTGAGGAACTTGCAGAACCTAAAGTTCGAACCTCCGAATTCAGAACTTTCGCGGCAATCGAGTCGATGGGATTAACGTAAACTTTTTAAGCAAAGAGATGCTAGAACCTGCACACATAAAATAAAACTGATATAACACAACAGCATAATAGAGTTTGTCAGATATGAGCGGTCCATGATACATTGATACATAATAAAATTGATTAAATTGAGGCAAGAAACATGTTAGGCACAACACTGAGGTACATGTTTCCATCAACTTGTTATGTAGATTCACATGAAGTCAATGGCTATGATGTTCTGAATTCATGTATAACTGTCTAGTTATTACCTCTTGACTTATAAAATTGTGAGATGAACCCAGTATATGACCTCAAGGATCTTTCAATTGTTGAATGATGTGAAGTTTTATCCTAAGAGTTAAGAACATATGCTTGTTTATATCTTGGTTGTTCCTTGACTTTAAATGCTTTGTACCTTACAAAAATATTGACATTTCCATTATTTCAACTTATTTAAAGAACCACACATCAAATAATAATATTTCACTTCTTAATTAAATAAAGGAGTGTGACTTATATGATATGAATAATACATGAGTGGAGGCATGTCTATGATGACATTCTTAGGACAATGGTTGTACAATAAATAGTACCATCCATGTTTTGATGGCATGGCATGATGAAGTGTTCCAAGTGTTGTAGTTACAAATTCTTGTGAAATAAATTTTGAAGTTATGATACATTATTTTTTTATTTAAATATGGTCATTAGATGAAAGATGAAAATGAAAGTTCATCTCACATTTTATTACCTCAATAAGGGTGAAGAATGTAACACCCCACTTCCCAAAACAAATAAAATATAAACATCAGAGTTTTCATCATTTACAGTGGGATATCACATCACCAATAAGTCATCAAAATACTTTATTGATTATTTTCAAAATAATACAGCGGAAATTGTCATTTCAACATTCTTGGCCATCTGCCAGATTTCATAAAATCTCTATTATTATAATTCACCAAAATGTGATACGTCACAGGATTACAACAAGTTTGACGCAAAACAATTAAAACACCCATATCCCGTGTTACGTATCAGAGCACCCTAAGACTCGACCTGCACACCGCTATCCAAGCTATCTATGTACCTGGATTATATGTACTTCCGAGGAAGCACAGACCACAACAACAAACAACAAAGGGGTGAGAATCACGATCAAATAATAATGGTATAATAGTACATGAAATAAAAGGAAGAATCTATATAAATCATTTCACATGCATATCAATCGGGCTAACTGTCCCACCATTAATCACAACATACAATCACGCAATACGTGCGCACACACACACCCCGAAACATACGGTGTCGACTCATTCGTCCGTCAGATTCTCCTAGGAACCAAATATAACCATCGCTTCAAGCGAGGTTCTGCAAATCCTCCAAGGGATCAATTATAACCATCGCTCACACCCCACAAGGGCACACGAGGTTCTGCAGATCCTACACGGGATCAAATATAACCATCGCTCACACCCCACATGGGCACACGAGGTTCTGCAGATCCTACACGGGATCAATTATAACCATCGCATCAAGCGAGGTTCTGCAAATCCTACACGGGATCAATTATAACCATCGCTCACACCCCACAAGGGCACACGAGATTCTGCAGATCCTACACGGGATCAATTATAACCATCGCTCACACCCCACAAGGGCACACGAGGTTCTGCAGATCCTACACGGGATCAATTATAACCATCTCATCAAGCGAGGTTCTGCAAATCCTCCAAGGGATCAATTATAACCATCGCATCAAGCGAGGTTCTGCAAATCCTACACGGGATCAAATATAACCATCGCTCACACCCCACAAGGGCACACGAGGTTCTGCAGATCCTACACGGGATCAATTATAACCATCGCATCAAACGAGGTTCTGCAAATCCTCCAAGGGATCAATTATAACCATCGCATCAAGCGAGGTTCTGCAGATCCTACACGGGATCAAATATCTCTAGATTGTCCATCATAATGCCTTTTATGCAAAATGACTCACGGCATTTCTCTACGCGCATACATATTCATAATTACATTACTATGCGTATTCACCTCACATAGGTAACTACAATCTATGTGCTCTCATGCTAATCTATCATGCATTTCCATTCAATTCGGACAAACGCTTAAAATTGCCAAACGGCCACTAATTCCCGATAAAAATCGATTTCTAGGATTCACGTCATTCGGCTACCCACAGCACATCACAAACCAGCACACCAACTTTTAAATCAGAGAAGGGTCGATCGCAACCGGAACCCCAAGCCACAACAGCACACAATCAGCAGAGAAAAATCACTCTGCTACGTTCGCTACACGCTCGCCTAGCGAGCTGCTAGCGAGCGTTAGCTACCTCCTCGCCTAGCGAACTGCTATCGAGCACAAACAGAAGCTACAGACCTCGTTCGCTACCTCGTTTGCCACAGCGAACCCCCAGTGAGCTCTTCGCTACTCCCTTCGCGGCTAGCGAAGGAGACCAAAACACCATTGTCCCAAGTCT